TTCTTCATGGTTTCTTATTACTTAAGTACTGTAAGTCATTTAGGCAATGCAATCAAAAATATTTCTTATAGATTGAACAAACAAATCAATCACAATCCATGCTTAATTTAGATATAGTTCACAGTAAAGAAATGAGTGTCTTTCTGGAAAATCTGCACCATCCATGTAATATGTGATAACTTTAGTAATTACTGACACAACTCATTCAAAGGCCACAAACCAATATTGCTAACAAGGTTGAAGCCCTCAGGGCCTCTTAGTTAATAGGATTTTCAAGAATTTCATTAACACCCCAAAGATTTAAAGGAGTAGTTTAAAGGCTACTGTAGTTTAGTTATTCAATTAAAACATCTGGTATCTATCATGTTGCTACAGAAATAGCCAAATATTTAGTTTTAGATAATCAATTCCTTGACAAAAATACCAACCTTTTGGTCTAAATGGTTTTAAATAATGCAGAATTGTAGACTTTCAAAATCTCTGCTTCCTCAGTACGCATTTCCAAAAATACGATATATGAACGCAGTGAATGCCAGAGGCTATAGTGTCAGTTCCAAATATTTCATGCTCAACTGCCTTTTGCTTTTTCTATTTAAGCAACAACCGGAGGCAAGACTCTTATAAAATATCTAATTAACACTCTGCATTCTGTTGCTTTTGAAAGAAAAGATTGCCTGAAGACAGATAAGACAAGATAGGTAAGACATCATTTATCTAATAAAGGGAAAAGAGTCATCGGTTCTTCCAAGATAGCCTTTGTGGCATAAACACTACTATAGGCCAGTTTGAATACTAAAAGAAGGAAGAAAAAGCTAGATATATTGAATGTATTTCTGCAACTGCATGAAAGAGTCCTAAACTGTTTGATGTAGCAAGCCTGTTATCATTTTAAATAATATGATTTTTTTTCAAATTAACATTTCAAAGACAGTTCAACTTTCCCATTTTGCAAAATCAATTCTGATTCTAATATTTTATGGGGAAGGGAAGATACATGGAAGCCTCCTCCTCAGTTGCTGACATTCTAACATTGCCAATACTACATTTATTGCTTCCATGAAATGTCAGCACATTCAAAGACCCATCTATAAGGTAATTGTGTAGTGATCCCTTCCCACTACAACTTTTAATTTAATACTGATTTTCACATTTATATATAACATTACTTTTCTTATGTTTTGTTCCTTTCCCTTTTTCATCTCATCATTAGTACAGGCAGATTATATTGTGATGAGGTTTTGGACGAGCAGTTGTGTAGGGAGACAGACTGGCAAGAGAACTGTAATAATTTGAGCTGTGATCACAAGCTGCCAAAAGAAATGTGAGGAACAGAGTATAAGAATAACTATGCTATGTTTATGTCTTCATTGTTCTTTGCTTGACTTTTAAATCTGGCTGTCAGTTAACACAGCCAGGTAAAAGCAAAGAAACACTCCGCATACTACTGAGTGTTTCCTCTTTAATTCCCATAACTTTCTAAATTCCATTGTCTGTTTCCTTGACAAATATCCATGTCACAATGCTGATGTTCAATAACTTCTTTCCCTCCTACAACGAAGATTACAATCGAGCAATCTATTGTCCTTCCACACAACCATATAACTCAGAATATCAAGGCAGAAAATCCCACAATATTTGCTTTGAATTGCATTATCTGAGTCCACACTGCCATATATTCCAATTCAAAGCAGAAAAATGTGGGATTTTATTCAACTGTGTGGAAGATGCCCAAGATAAATCTTCTCAAACCATTAATGAAGCTACATTACTTGAAGTACATTTCAGATCCTTATTGTCCACATTTCCCCCTACAGTTTAGTAATCTGATATAAACTCTTTCCAAACATCCCGCAGCTATACATCTATATTGAATATTATTTGATATGTGAAATCGCTGCATAGTATGCATTGATTAGTGATTAAAACAACACAAAAATACAAGTGTAATATGCTACATATTGTGTAAATTGCATTGTCATTGCAATGAATGGAATGAACCCTTTTTGAATAGTTATAGTTGTTTCATAGAACACCGGCTAAAGATTTGGAATTTTGATTTCATGCAATAGCTAAAATGTATAGCTGCATTTCTTAAAATATGTCTTTGTCCCATCAAGACATATCATTTGGGAACTTTTAAAAAGGGACCAGTTCCAATATCACATTTATCATGATTTAACATGACAGAAAAAAGCAGAACATTTTCCCTCAAGCCTTGTGTTTACACTCTCCACTTCTATTCAGCTATGAGGAGGACAAAGCATTTCTTTTTTACCCCATTAGCCATAGTATATTGTGATGTCGACATTTACAAAATGTGGTTACTCTTAATCACGATTTATTTGAAAGATGGCAGTGTCAAGCCACGGATTACAATGGTATCTGATTTCACCTAACTACAGTTCAGATGATTGGCAAAACAGTGATTATTCCAAAAAAAAAAAAAAGACCCAAAAGTTTTGTATTGCCTTGTGGCTGTACTGTGTGAAAAAGAAAAGGGGAACATATAAGTCTGAAACTTGTTTCAATTATAAAAAACTGTACAGAGATTGTGCTTTTCCTGCATGGCAGAGGGCTGGACTAGATGGCCCATGTGATCTCTATGATTTTATGATTAGCAAAGAGTCATTTCTAAAGAAACACTCAATTCTACATGATATAAAGCAGTGGTTCCCAACCTTTTTTGACCAGGGACTACTTGACCATGGACCATATTAGTACCAAAAGGGTTATGAATCATTTTTTGGTCAATTTTAGATTCAGTTTGGGGTGTTGATTCAGAAAATTGCATTGAATAGACCACATCAGGTCTAGTTTCTGATACAGAACATATGCCATGGTGACAGGGAAGAAATGGCAGGCAGCGCGAAAGGAGCGGAAATAAAATAAAATAAAAAGATAGAAAGAAAGAAAGAAAGAAAGATGAAGGAGGTTCACAGGCCATATTTTCATCCTCACGGCCTACTGGTGGTCTGCGGCCCACAGGTTAAGAACCACTGGTATAAAGGAATGTAAGTGCATTCTATTTCCTGAAAAAAAATTCCAACATATCTTAAACAGAATCACTGTAGCATGATTTTGTTTTTCTACTTCAGAATGTATTGTATCAGATTTTTAGTTATAGCAAAATGATGAGGGGAGAGTAAGTGCTTGGGGGAGATGCCAAATGCTGCTTTTGTGGCTGTCTTCTAGTTGGTGTGCTTAGCTCTCACCATTTTAATGAACAGTAATCTCTTTAACTTTCAGTATCATGAATTACAAATAAAGTTATAGTACTTAATTTCCACTCATCTTTAAGGGTCATGGAGCTGCTTTGAGTCTCCATATGGAGAGAAAAATGGAATATAAATAATCATAATATTAATAATAATAGTAATAATGCACATTGTATAAAATCATTTCTTAGAAACAATCTATTTACTTTTAATCCAAAGTTATTATATGGTCCCATTTAGCAACTTGGAAGGACAGGTGCTGAAAAAACTTAGTTTACTACTCTAGGGAAAATGGGAAATATCTTGGCACAAAAAGGGAAGTAAAAAACGGTAATTATGTATGTGGAATTAAAATGCTTGGAAATATTAAAATTGAAAGGATACACAGACTGATGTATTAGTCTTAAATTAAATTTGAAACACAAAAGCCCATGGCTTACACGCTTTTATCTCTTAAGAATCACACATATCTTGTAGCTTATTTGAGATAATGTAACCTGCTATTCCTGCTAATAGTCCTTGCATTCAGAACATGTGTAGAATGGAAAACATTCAACAATCCTTAATCAAGATGACTACAGACAAAGGAGACTATTGGGATGTGCACTCCAGTCATTTGAGAATAATAATTCCTAACAGCAATAAGGGGGAATCAATAATGGGAACAGTCGACTGAGAACAGGTATGGATTAAATATCAAATCAACATGTAGAAACTTATGTACTACTGCAAATCTTCTTAAATACACATGCTGACTAAAATTTGAAGTAGATTGTGCTCCCGTTTTTTTAAAAATGATAAAAGTGAAATGTCTGGAGCAGATGAACCTGTATGTCTGACAATTAGTTACATACTGCATGAATTTATTTTCCATATACAAAATAAATAGAATATCCTTGGAAATGCTATAGAACGATCAGTCACATCCAGATCAACATATGGAGACAGTTTCCGAATTCATTCTAAAACTGCACTTTGTTTTTAACAAGAGCAGGATATATGACTTAATTAAATCCACAAAACAGAAATAATCTCAAAAGCACCTGACTAATTTCTTTCAAACATTTCTTCTCAAGCTAAAGTACTGTTAAACATTTATCATTTCAGTAATATATCAAATATGCTGTTCTACATCAGAGGAAGGCAATAGCAGAATGACTGATTTATACTCTATTTCCATTTCATTATGCACTCCAAAAGATATAAACTTTTACACAGTAACACTCTTTTTTGTTCTATATAAAGATTTTTGAGACACTTAGTACAATTCATAAGAAAAAGCCTTACATACTATTAAGGCAAAGTCATTCATATTATAAAAACACTAGATACAAGGAAAAACAGTTCTGTTCTATTAGCTTCCTACAAGAAACTCTTAATTAATAATTTTTAATTAAATGACAGCTAGCCACAAAGTAAGTTTTTTCCCCTGAACAAGTGATAAACGCATCTAACACATCAATCCCCATGAACATAGATCTGACATGCAACAAAAGAACTTTTGTATTTTTTGCTTCCTATTACCATAGCTCCGGAGCATTTATTTTGAAAATTGTATTATTGGGATCACTTCCACACTGACCTGCATTCTTCAGATAGAAAATGGCAGGGGGATGAGTGGATATTAAAAAAGGAAATTCCATCCTGAAACTGACGTCTTACCAAATGCAGCATTAAAAGGGACCCAAAATAAAAAATACCCATCAGCCCTGTTTTTGCTCAAATGCCTCAATGACAATAGGGTAACAGAGCACTTGGTCAGAAAATCCCAATAATTCGGCTTTATTCTACACAGCACACTTTCACAGTTGTTACTGGATTAAAATGTGCCTGGCTTGGCAATGAAAGAGCAGAACGATTGGATATTGTTATGCAACTCAGTGTCTTCAAGGGTGACTTGTAGCTTGTTCTTTATTCAGCAAGTGCCAACTGCATGTTTAATCAATGTCACCACTCACTACAGTCTGCAACTGAAGCCGCTGTCATTCTACTTCTCAGATCTGACTGGCTGCTAAGTTATGCAATGCTCTCAAGAATGCCTTGGAATTATTTGTGAGATGCTTTGAATGCAAGTGTGTAACAACCCTAGAGCAAGCAGAAAACTTTGTTCCTTCTGGAGCACAAATGCGAATGACTGCTCTAATATCACCCGCAATCTTTGGATTTACAACTCAGCAACATGAGAGAAGCCTCTTCAGAGAGTTAACAAGACCGAGAGAGCATGTTAAATGACCATAGCATTGGAATGTCTTGGGGAAGTGCTACACATATAGCCACGAGATAGAAACTACATTTTAACGAGAAGACTCAATGATGTTTTCACTGCTTACACATTCTATGGAAGAATCCAGGATTTTAAAAGGAGATAAATATATAACTTGGACATGCAGAATAGGGGATTCTTTCTTGACACCACATTGCTTCAGTGGATAACTGAAACAAGGCCTGCATTTCTTTGAAGATTTTGTCTCGTGTATCACATCTACAGCTTCATTCATCAAAACACTGTTCATGCATGCATGTAATTTCTGCTATGAGTGAAAAGAACAGTCCTCCATGAAGATAAGGCTGTTTCTCCACTGCAGTGAGGAGTAAGCAGCATGTCTGATGAGATTTTATTCCTGATGCAATGTAGGGTAAGAGAGGCTTTTAAAAATCTTTATGTGAAAATGTCTTAGCTTTGATTGTTACCAGCACTTTAATAAATGTGAAGACCTGTGTAAGATATAATGCCTGTCTGAATGTAAAAGATGTAAACAGAACCAACGACGAGGCATTCCATTTTGATTAGACTGACAATAGGATTTTTCGACAGTAATGTTTAAATGCAACAGACAGCAAATCCCGGCTCAAGTAAATCATCTCTTATGTACTTAATAACATGACCTATTAAGATTTTAAGCAGAAACATGGAACAGAAGCTGTCCTTCATTTCAATTCCACAAAAATAATTTACTGAATAGTTAGATAGAAAAAATCAGCTAAAATAAAGTCTGCTGAAATTAGTCTATTTTTTCACGTGGATAATGAATCACATTTATGACCACTGACCATATGATGGGATTGCTATACAGTGAAATTGTATATACCACCATAGTACTATGTAAATGGCTGAATATGTCAAGTTAAACAACATTTTATATTAATGTGCATTCTGTATTAAAACAACTATATTAAAGCTGAATAGATACAGGTGTTTAAAATATGAATAAATGTGATTTTCAAAACAAAAACTTTCACATGTAATTTGGAGTGAAATAAACCATGATGGTTTTTGATTCCATGAAAAATAAACTGCTATGCTGAAAGACCGCAGACACATGTGAGTGTGGGGCAAGTGCCTCCCTGCCTCCTGGCAAGTTGGTAATTTTTTCTCTTTCCTCCTTTCTAGCCATCAGTCAGAACACTGGTGAAGATTTTTGCAGAAAAAATGAGGAGCTCTGCCATCACAACACTAGAAGATGTGAAAAGGCAAGAAGAAAGCGAGGAAAAGGAAGAATCTATTCTAGCTCTGTTGGGAATAATAGGAACAGTACTTAATCTATTTGTAATTGTTTTTGTCTACGTATATACAACCCTTTGATGGCTTTCTAGCAACTCGGAAGACCAGCAATGGCAAAAAGAAACTTTGAGCACCAATCAACAGAAAACAGGGGCTCAAAGAAAAAAACACATTCCAGAAAGAAGTGCCTATTTTAAGGGCACTACATCAACAACTGTAAAATGCATCTATGAACTCAGAAAACTATATAAAAAAAGACTGCTACATATTAAACATCTCAATTATGACTGCTGGAAGTTCAGATTCTCCAAACACATGCTTCCTCTCTCCTCTGCCGCGGCAATTAATATGCAAGATGTTGTTAACATAAGCAGGACAAAAACTAAAGGTAATGGGTGCCATAAAATCTTCCTATGTTTTACTTACTTGATTCCCATTATACCTTTGGATTTGTAACTATGTACCTCTATGTAGGTGACAGCTGGATTAGAAATGAATCAATTTCAAAACCATTATTATGTGCTAAAGTTAGATAAATATATACAAAGTGTAGAAAGAGCAGCAATGTTAAGTACTGTATTGTAAGTAAATAAAATTTTAATTAACTACCTTCCAAAACACTTTTAATTTTCATATTGTTGATTGCTGTGCCAGATATTCTTGTCCTTACGTTTACAATTCACATTTATGCTTGTAAACTATACTGTGTTCAAAAGACATTTTATAATTCCAGGAAAGGGATTTTTTTACAATATTTGTATTAAAAATATAGATCCACTCTTGCAACCATTTTAGTAGATTTTTAAAGTCGTTCTTTCATTTGTGGCAATAATATAAACAAGCAAATTTATTATAGTTTTAAGTGAACAAAATAGTTGGAACTAGCTATTCAAACTGTGAATTTACCCAAATTCAGAGAAGAAATCAGATCAACTAGAGTTTCAACCTGTGAAAAATACAGACCCCTAGAGATTTCTAATCTTTTCCTCTGAACTATACATTGTAAATAGGTTGGATTCTCCAGAGACCCTTCACATATTCCATCTAATCAAAGGAAATTATTCTGAAGTGTAATGATTCAAAATGGTAGGATCTCTCCAACTACAATCCAATGCTCAGTTATTTGGAAATAAGCTGCATTGAACCAAAACGTCTTAATTCTTTTAAGAAGACAAATGTGCATATAACTCCTTTTTTCCAGATTCCACTTGTAAATCAAACCATTTCATTAAAAGACTATGCTTTATACACCATGCCCTCCTTTGTCTGCAGCTTTTTAAATAAAGATTTGCAATACTGAAAACTACAGCTTTATGCTTCTATTTCAATGAATTAATATTTGAAAATGTAATTAACTTTTATAAAATCAGTATTTGTCTTAGAGTAAGCAATCAGAGGTAGTCTTAAACTACAGCATATTGAAGTATAATGGCAATTGTCCTCAACTAACATGTATATTTTATTATCCTACTCAACTTGAAAGAATGAGATAGGTCATTGTACAGATGAGAAACGGGGGTCTAAACATTAATGGGCCAAATCTAGTCTTTTCATATTCAAAACCAATTTTTATTTTGAAGTCTAAAGCATATTCGTTGCAAATATCTAAAGTAATATTTTGGAAACTAGCCAAGGGCTCAGAGATCTAAAAAAGATAATAGCAGGAAGGAGCTTTGTTTCCCTGGTATGGAAAAGCAAGGTCCAGATTTGGCAATAGGAAGGAAGAAGCTACATACAGAAAAAAAAAACATTAAGAAATTAGTAGAATCTGAAACAAAGAGCCAAGACTAGAATGTTGCTGATCACACTAAAAGACAGAAAGAGAAATACCCATGTCTGTGTGAATGTGCGGGCACACTTGTGTGTGCCTAAAAACCATGGTTCAGAAGATGAAAAGCTGGGTGGTTGTAGGTTTTTTCGGGCTATATGGCCATGTTCTAGAGGCATTCTCTCCTGACGTTTCACCTGCACCTATGGCAAGCATCCTCAGAGGTAGTGAGGTCTGTTGGAATGAGGAAAAAGGGTTTATATATCTGTGGAATGACCAGGGTGGGACAAAGGACACTTGTCTGCTGGAGCTAGGTGTGAATGTTTCAACTGACCACCTTGATTAGCATCCACAAGCATGTGGACACTTTCAACAGAAAGGGGAAAACCATGAAAATGAACAAAATCTGGCTACCAGTATTAAAAAAACTCTAAAATTACAATAGCAAAACAACAGAGAGGAAACAATCTGGGACATCTAATCACCTCTCAACAAAAGATTGCTCCAGTCACTAACAAGCCACACCAAACAATAGCCAGGCCATCAAATGCTAATCAAGGTGGTTTTTCATCTGAGTATTTCAGACAGACTTTAAAATGAAAAACACAAAATGGGGTTATAATGAAAATCCTGTTAGCATCGGGCCAGCTACAGGATAGCTGCTAAGATGAGGGCTATGAGTCTCAATAGAATTTGGGGGGCTCCAGGTAAATGAGAGTGTCAAAGAGAAATCATGTCACCTACTCTCCTTTTTGAAACGATTGTTTATGAAGCTACTATCTTTCCTATGGAAATGTCTCAGGATTCCAATGTAAAGCTATTAACCATAAAAGCTAGCAATAAATTGCTATGAATTAAAGGTATTCAAACTTCGAAAAAAGAACCTGGGAGCAAGTTTCTCCAGAAATTTGTAATCTTTTTCTTTTATGTACCTGCTTCTCTCGCAAATAGATTTGCATCTGTTTTTCTCTCAGACAAAAGGACAAGAGGTAACTTTTTTAAACCTTTGAATAGTATAAATATGAATTCTATTTCTATTATTTTCTATTTTTTTATGAAGTAAGTCTTCCAAATGGCTATGCAAATATTCAAAAACAAAGCATAAAAATTCTACTTAAGGTAAGACATGTACAGTACAAGTAGAGAATTTTACCCAAACTCCACAAGAACACTGCTGGCCTAGCTTTGGAACAGCCCAGCTTTAGCACAACTGGTGAATCACCAGGAGCAATACATCTTACTAATCGAAAGGTTGGCAGTTCGAAGCCCAGGCCGGGGTGAGCACCAGCCTATTGTCCATCTAAGCATTTAAAAAAACAGCTGTGAACTGTGAGTAGAGAAATGAGGCACCGCTTAAGTAGGAAGGTATTTTACGGCACCATAAAAGAAATACCAGAAAAATGCCAGCAATCAAAGGAAGTCTGTGATCAAGGCTCTTCATCATAGAGGATAGAGCAACAGCACTCCCATGGCTGGAATCAAGGACAACCTCCAGGACACAGAAGCCAACATAATACTTCTATTTGTTGCCTGTCATGTCTGTTTAACGGCATTGAATATTTGACATGTATGTGTTCTGTGATTTCCCTTGGTTACCCTTTGGGGTGAGAAGGGCAGAATATAAATGCTGTAAATCAATCAATCAATAATAATAGTGTAGACTATCACATCTTTGGAGAAGACCAGTGTTTTCACCATTTAATATGATGGCCATCCATGAAAGAAATGTAATGGGAGGGGTGCTAAACAGAGACAAGGTACACAACACAGATTTGTATATGCTTTGAACGTACCAGTTTATTTACTGTTGTGTGCCTTCAAGCCATTTTTGACATATGGCAATTTATGGCAAGATTTATTTAGATGGGATTTGCCATTGCTTTCCTGAGACAGAGAGTGATCTGCCCAATGTCATTCAATGGGTTTCCACAGCTGAGTGGGGATTTGAACCCTGGACTCTAGAGTCATATCATAGTTCAATGCTCAAACCAGTACTGGCTCCTTACCAGTCAAGACATGCTGATAAAAATATCGCAACAACTCATTTTAAAAAGAAATACATGTATTGGGGAAGGCTTACTTGATCTGTTACTCAGGTGTTAAATGTTGGTGATGGCTAACCTCAAGTCCCCGATCTCACTTTATGGTGCTTATTTTTAAGCTAAACTTAAACTGGACAGCTCTTCAATAGAAGGCTCTTCTCTGTCAAGTAGAGTATAAGTACACAAAACCATCCTATTAATGAGAGACAGGAGGGGTTGCTCATGATGCTTCCATGTACGTTTTAGCCAGCTCCTTGATGGTTGGAGTACTTATAACATAGCATCGGGCTATTACCTCAAGGCATGGTATATCAAATGTGGGAGGAAGTTATGTTTCCATAATAACAAAGCCCTGAACTCCTTTACGGTTTGGAATCAAAACTGAGCAAAATAAGAGACATTTTAAATATTTTATGGGACAATTCTTCAGAACCCCCCTCTCTCTTTGTGTGTGTATGTATATGTGTGTGTGTATATATATATAGAGGGGGGGGGGGAGTTTACAATGTATAAATAATATTTCCACAGATGTTTATTTCAATTTTCCAGCCTAAGCACCAGTGGCATGAATGATATTGTTATGATGGCATATTCTTACCCAGGCAAGCAAAGCGTATGCATGAACCGCCAAACCCAAAGTAACCACTTTCATTTATGAAAAGGAACACCAAATGCAAGGGTCTTCTTCCACAACTTTCAATGAAGTTTCAATTTAAGCGTTAGTTACATTCACTATCCCCCCCCCCCCAAAGTTATATCCATTACATATGACACTAATGTCCTTCCTATCTTCCTTTCTGTACAAACAAGGATTATCCAGCTGAGGAGGCTAACATTCCAAGTATTCAAAATCAGTGAAATACATCACCTAAGAAACACAGGCTCAGTGTGTCTGTAGCTGTACTGGTATAAGTATTTTTGTTGCCTAAGAAGCAATTTACAAAAATGGAGGAAGTCAGAACTGCAGAAAATAATGTACCAGGAATTTACAGATCAACTTTAAGAATTCAGGAGGCTTAAAAATCTTAAAGATACTAGATCTCATCTGATTTTGGAAGCTAAGCAAAATCAGCTCTGATTAGCATTTGGATGAGAGACTGTCAATAAATCCCTGGTGCTGTAGGTTGGAGGTAAAACTGATAATGCTACCTCTTGAGTTTTGCTTGTCTAAAAAAACCCTATGAAACTCACAGGGTCACCATATGTTGACAGGCAACCTGAAGGCATATACACACATTAGTTTAGTACCTGATTAAGCCTTAAGTTGGGACAATTTCTTAACTGGATAAGATTTGAAAAATTATGACTGAAGCAAATTGATGCCATCTACAGACCAAAAACAGCAATTAGCTTTTAGTGAAAAATAGCTGCATTGGTTTGTTTTGGATTGTATATAATTAGAGGTTTCTGCAATGATGGCTTTGTACAGAATGTGAGTTCAATTAGCTCTGATGTTATTAACTAATTATCAAACAAATAATTAAAAGAGTGTGATGAGTTTGTCATATATGTTTTCCCACATTTAATTATAACCTGATACATGTTGGTAACTATACTGGTGTCTATAAAAATATTTCCAGAAAGAAAGACATTTAATTATGAAGTGAGGAATGGGAGAGGGAGGAAGGAGAACTTCCAAACTGAAAATAGGGGACTTTTTGAAGACTTGGGGAATTGTGCACCTAAAACACAAACAGATGTGTCTAGGTGAGTATAGTAAGGCAGAAACCATTGATATACCTTAACCCTCTGTTTCACGTCATTCTCTTTCCATTTTTTTTTATCTAAAAGATAGGCTGAACACTGTACCTTGATTAGATTTTGCTCTCTGGTTACCAAAATCTCTAGCTATCAGAATGCTGTAACACAGGTGTCCTATTCTTCCAGTTAGCTCTTTCTTCTTTTGCTGCCCATACTTCCTCAAGAACCAGAAGCTATTGTTGTTGGAATTGGACTAGAAGCACCTTGCTTCAAATTCTAAACTCAGCCATGAAAGCTACACTGTGTACACACACAAAGCCTTTGCCACAGGTCAAAATGCTAAAGCTATCTCACAGTCTACTGTTAATACAAAATACTAGGAGGTTAGTGTTAGATAACCATACATACACTATCTTTAGGTTCCCCAAGGCAGAGCTCAGTACCATCATCCCTGAAAGATAGTCAATATTATCGAAGGCTTTCATGGCCGGAATCACTCAGTTCTTGTGGGTTTTTTCGGGCTATATGGCCATGTTCTAGAGGCATTTCTCCTGACGTTTCGCCTGCATCTATGGCAAGCTTCCTCAGAGGTGAGGTCTGCAGACCTCACCACTGAGGAAGCTTGCCATAGATGCAGGCGAAACGTCAGGAGAAATGCCTCTAGAACATGGCCATATAGCCCGAAAAAACCCACAAGAACTGATAGTCAATATTGTTTATAATTCTGATACTTGCCTTGCCTAAGTACCTGCAACCAAAAAGCAACTTTAAAAAATGGCATCAAATAGGTTTCTTTCAATGATTCAAAAGAAGCAAATGTGTCTATTCAA